TTTTGTTGTTTCTTTTTGATGAACATCAACCGGTATAGTGGGAGCATCAGTAGCAACTGTTTTATTATCATGAACTGGAGTAACAGGTACATCGGATGCCTCTGGTGTTTTCTCTTTATGCATTTCCACTGTAGTAGTAGTAGGTTCATCTGTAACACTTTCTGTTTGATGTTCACGAACTGGAGTAACCGGTGCACCTGTTGGCTTTCGTGTTTCTCCTTCATGAACATCGACAGGAGAAGTAGGTTCATCGGTAACACCTTCCGTTATTGATTCTTTATCAAATGGAGTAACAGGTGCATCTGTAACTCTTTCTGTTTCTGTTTTTTCTTCATCAACTGGAGTTACAGGTGCATCTGGAGCAGTAGTTGCATCAGTGGGTTTTGTTGTTTCTTTTTGATGAACATCAACCGGTATAGTGGGAGCATCAGTAGCAACTGTTTTATCTTCATGAACTGGAGTAACAGGTGTATCGGATGCCTCTGATGTTTTCTCTTTATGCACATCCACAGTAGTAGTAGGTTTATCGGTAACACTTTCTGTTTGATGTTTAGGAACTGGTGTAACCGGTGCATCTGTTGGCTTTCGTGTTTCTCCTTCATGAACATCAACCGGGGAAGTAGATTCATCCGTAACACTTTCTGTTATTGATTCTTTATCAAATGGAGTAACAGGTGCATCTGTAACTCTTTCTGCTTCTGTTTTTTCTTCATCAACTGGAGTTACAGGTGCATCTGGAGCAGTAGTTGCATCAGTGGGTTTTGTTGTTTCTTTTTGATGAACATCAACCGGTATAGTGGAAGCATCAGTAGCAACTGTTTTAACTTCATGAACTGGAGTAACAGGTACATCGGATGCCTCTGGTGTTTTCTCTTTATGCATATCCTCAGTAGTAGTAGTAGGTTCATCGGTAACACTTTCTGTTTGATGTTCAGGAACTGGAGTAACCGGTGCATCTGTTGGCTTTCGTGTTTTCCCTTCATGAACATCGACCTGAGAAGTAGGTTCATCGGTAAAACCTTCCGTTATCGATTCTTTATCAAATGGAGTAACAGGTGCATCTGTAACTCTTTCTGTTTCGGTTTTTTCTTCATCAACTGGAGTTACAGGTGCATCTGGAGCAGTAGTTGCGTCAGTGGGTTTTGTTGTTTCTTTTTGATGAACATCAACCGGTATAGTGGGAGCATCAGTAGCAACTGTTTTATCTTCATGAATTGGAGTAACAGGTACATCGGATGCCTCTGGTGTTTTCTCTTTATGCATATCCACAGTAGTAGTAGGTTCGTCGGTAACACTTTTTGTTTGATGTTCACGAACTGGAGTAACCGGTGTATCTGTTGGCTTTCGTGTTTCTCCTTCATGAACATCGACCGGAGAAGTAGGTTCATCGGTAACAC